GCCCCATAAACAAACACCTCAAGCAGAGTGAGGGCATACAACAACCTCTCTTCATTTTTTCATTCGAGCGGTGGGATTAGGTAGGGTTGTCCAATCTCACCACCCCTCTACAATTTCGCCATCGACGACGTTCTGGAAACAGCTCCGATGGATGTAAGCAATGGCGATTTGAATCTGTTACGTGGAGAAAGATCTTCGACCTTGAGTATATGGATGATATTTTATTACTGTGCGATGATCCCCAAGCCATGCAATCTGCACTTGATGGGTTGGCTATGGGATGTGCTATGCACCTTCTAAATACAAAGTACTCTCACAACACTGACAGGAACCTGAACTTGCACTCACTCTTGATAGTGAGCAGATAGAAGTAGTCGAAAAGTTCATATACCTAGGTAGCTGTGAAAGTGCTGGTGGTTGCGTGAATAATCAGATCAATTCACGCGTAACATGAAACATGTTTCAAAATACCTGCCGTTAGCGATTATCATATATATTTACTTTGTCTTATACACTCAGTCTTCCATAAATTTAAAAGCTCTTTTCAAATATTCTTTCCTACTCTTCTGATTGATGAAACATTTCAGTCAGTCCTTTAATGTTAAATAAGGGTATTAGGTCAGTTTCGTACCACTTAAGTTCTAGTCGATTAGTATGTATGTAAAATAATGATGCTTTTTACGAAGCTGCATGCAATTTATTTATTAAATTTACCACGAATGGAAGTGAGGTATTCAATTTATTATTTGACTGAGTTACAAATTTCGAACTAGTAACATAAACCATTTTTATCTGAAGACATAAACGCTAAAGTTTGATTTCCTTGAACGTATCTTTTAGTTGGAAAGCGTAATTCATTATGCTTAGCGTGATATATTGGTTTCGTTTGATTCTTGTTAAAATGATATCAAACAAACTTTCATTGTAAAGTGAATATATTTTCTGCATGTTACATTTCCTCCACTTTCCAGAAGCCAAGCAAACTCACCATGATGAAATCGTGAACATACCACGTGAATTTAAAAGCTGGGATTAATTAAGGATTGAGAGTTGTTTTAAGTACTCTTTGATACTAATGTACTGTACTACAGTGCATCCCATCTATTGTACTACGTACAAATCTTGAACTCAAGGAAAAGCGATGAAATGCTAAGAAAATAAAAGCTCAACGAACCAATGTGAATGTTTGGAATGATTAAATAATGCCGTTAATTTGCTTCACATCACAGGCATTAATTATTCTTTAAATTGTTTCTCATTTGTAAATCACACTCTACTAATGAGTAGCAGAAAATATCTATTAGAAATTTATTCTTAACGTTATGGCCTCAATTAGCGTGTGCGTTGCATGAATTGAAACCTTACGACATAAGTAGAGAAATCAGCAACATGGACTCAGTTTCAAGGATTAGTAAGATTTAGATACTTTCTAATCAATGGAATTGAAATAAAATAGTAGTAATATGGCTGACAAAATCACATTTCGATCAATTGTTGGTCTTTTCTGCTGATATTAAATTTAACGATCACTGGATAGTCTTCGAAGTTGACCACTGTAAAGAGAAACCCATCTGAATTTTGATCTTCTTCATCAAATATAATCGGGTATAAATGCTCCCATCTTGTTTGTCTCATCAGAAAAGTATGAATTGGGGAATGTAAACATCAGGCAATGTTAGCTGTTTCATGAAATATTAAGGCCAAATTTCGTGTATTAGCTTAAGGCTTCGAATGGTTTTCTCATTTAATGAATGTGTGGCTCTGGTACTGACAATTTTTTGATGTAATGATTTACGATATACTTACTAAACTACTTTAGCCTGTCATCCACAGTGGAGCATATGTTCCCAACTTATTTTCTCTGACCAATTCCATCCACGGCTTCTCTTACAGTTCTTTCCAATATTTGCTCATTCTTCTCATATCTTTGCTATTTCTCGGCGTAATGTGTTCCTTTGCCTTACACTTTTCCTTCGACCCTGACGGTTTCAAGAAAAGGGCTTGTCTTGTGACGGACGCAATCGGGTGCATTTCGCAATGTGTCCTATCCACTTTCACCGTTTCTTCCTGATTTCCTCCTCCTATGGAATCTGGTTTGTTCTCTCCAACAGTAGGTCGTTGCTGATGGTGTCTGGTCAACGAATCCGAAGTATTTCGCTTAGACAGCTTTTAAGGAATACTTCTATCTTCTGGATGGTGACTTTGGTGGTTTACCAAGTTTTCGCCACACACCGTATAACTGTCATGACATTTGTATTGAAAATCCTGATTTTGGTGTTGACTGACATTTGCTTGGATTTCCAGATACTTTTCAATTGTATAAATGCGACCCTTGCTTTGCCGATCCACGCCCCCACGTCTGCATTGAATCCACATTGACTGTCATTGATGCTATCCAGATATGTAAAGGTTCTTAGGTTTTCCAACGCATCTCTATGAAGAGTGATTTGGTTGGCGCATTTTGTATTGTAACGCAGAATGTTGCTTTTCCCTTTATGTATGTTGAGACCTACCGCTGCTGCTGCGGGTGCTGCTACACTGGTCGTCTTCTCTTGCATTTGTTGTTGTGTGTGCAACAGAAGAGCCAGATCATTTTCGAAATCCTGATCGTCCATTTGCATCCTAGCTGTCCACTGTACACCGTGCTTTTCTCCAGATAATGACGTCTTCATAATACAGTCAATCACCAGGAGAAAGGGAAAGGGTGAGAGTAAGCAACCTTGCCTGACACCGGTTTTCATCGCGAACGAGTCTGTTAGCTGACATCCGTGTACGATTTCGCAGTTGAATCCATCATAAGAATTCCGTATGATGTTGACTATCTTCTCAGGCACACCGTAGTATCGAAGAAGCCTCCATAGTGTTTTCCTGTCCATACTATCGAATGCTTTCTCCTTGTCAATCAAGTTGATGTAGAGTGGTGAGTTCCACAATGACCCGTAATATTACAATTAGGTGCGTACACGATCGATCCTTACGAAACCCAGCCTGTCGACTTCGAAGTTGGGCGTCTATGAAGTTCTTAGTTCTTTTTAACAATACCCTGTTGAAGACTTTGCCTGGCATTGAAAGAAGAGTGATGTCTCTGTAGTTCTCACACTTGCTGAGATTGCCTTTCTTTGGTATCTTCATGAGGTTCCTTTCTCTCCAGTCTGATGGTTCTTGTTCCTCATCCCAAATCTTCTTGAAGAGAATGTGAAATATTTTCTCATTTGCTTCTGTCTTCGTTGCCTCTGCTGCTGTCTGATCCCGTTGCTTTGCCGCTTTTGATTTGTCTGATGGCCATGTTGATCTCTCCAGTTGCTGGTGGACCAACATCGATTGGGATGCTGCTGCTTCGATGTTGAGTGAGTTCAGTGGAGCTGGTCGATTCAATATTTCTGAAGTTGATTGCTGCCTTCTTGCTCCTCCTTTCTTCAACTTTTTCAAGAGTACCAACAGAGATAAATTTCTTGTAATGGTACTTCCTGTGACCCAGAACCACGTGACATGTTAAAGTGATTCCCTCTTTGATCCCTTTCCAATTGTTCTCCAATGTTGCTTCATCTCCATTGAGTATATCCTGCAAGGCTGGAACCTATTGGTGAGGACTATCTTGAATTTGTTGAGTTGTACGGTATCCTTCTTCCAACTTCCAGGGCAGAGTTAAAATGGTTTGAATTATTTGTTCCGGTTAGCGTTTTTTAGCGAGTTAGTTTTTTGATGGGATGGGGTCGCCAACCCAATGCCCAACCCTCCTCCTTTATCCGGGCTTGGGACCGGCAGTAGCCCCGAAGGGTTTACAGGCGGAGTCATTTACGATATAAGAGCCTATAAAATGTTTTCTTCAAGCTGTTCCATGGATGGTTAACTAATAACCTCAAGTGCAAAGGCTAGTGCTACTTTAGACGGTGTTAGATCTCAGAGAGTAAAACCAAAACCGGTAAGTAATTTTGGTGAAAGAAATGCAGTGTCTATACAGGAAGATGTAGCTAGTTACCTGAGAACTCAGTCTAGGACACCGGGAACTTATTTGTATCTTTCTACAATGTTTCTATTTGTTATAACGTAACTAAACCATATGGTACTTCAATTAACATTAAGAGTTTTAAGAGATTTAAAATCTTAGTAACAGGAATAAACAGTCTTCTCACCGATGACTGGATTGTTACATAGCACTGCACACCTGATAGTATATTTTTCAATGAATACGGTACATATAATTGGCGATTTTTTCGAAAGCTCACATAATCTCCAGTAGCTTTTAGTTGTAACTGACAGTAACACCTAGAGGATCTGTATCAGTTGGTACGAGTTGACTTTAGAGTAGGGATTTCGCAGAAGTCAAATTAATAACCTTCAAATTTTCAGCATTTCCATTGTTTAATATGCTTTATGTCACCATTCATATTCAGATATGGTATGAACGTATTGAGGTTGATGATACCATGATCATTATAACACTAATCAGAGAAGATTGTCGAGGCTGTATTGTCTTGAAGGGGTTAGCCTAATAGTAATTTTAACTCGAATGTGTTATTAAATTGAAAACTATCAATTGCATAGTTGTAATGTATAAAATGCTAGAATTAATTACTGTTTAATCAACGTTACATGGGAACTAAACAAGGTGGACATAGATTAGGTTCAATTACTTATGAATGGTCAATTATCATGGGATGGCTACTTAAACACCATCTTTTTATGGTTATGCTGTTCTGGTTAGCTCATATACACATTGCTTCTGTCAATCTTTGCTTATATGCTAAAAACCCTTTCTGAAGTATTTTAGTCTCATTAAAGTTCATTTTATGTCCTGTTTCTAGTGCATTTATTGCCGATTTATTCTCCAATTGTTTGAGATCAGTAGAAACTTTGTGAACATGTTTCGACACTGCGTTTCTTCAGCCTCACAAATATAATTTCCTTTGTATTTAATTATATTACCTGAAGTACATTCAGATTAAGAGTAAAAATTCTCATAAATATTACAAATAGTTTTAAATGGAACAAAAAAACGTTTCCACTTATCTATCTTGTTTATTTCAAAACCTTAACCCCATGAAATAGACTTGCAAATATAAACTTTTATTCACAAAATTCGGTATTCAGAAATAAACTAGTGATCATGTTTAACAACATCTCACATATATCCATAAACAGTGATCACTTACACATATAGTGGATTAATTAAATACATGGCATCGATAATATGCTCACGATCACAAAAAAGATAAGAATTTAGTAATTAGGGAAAACAAGTTACAATAGAGAAAATAGAAGTAAGGTATGAGACTGGTTAGAAACACAACGTTCTCTTTACTTTGATAATGCTTTTTATACTCCAATAAGAATTAACAGGAACGAGAAGAAGGAACAATAAAGTTGGTGGCGCAGATCAGGCAACCACTTTTACGAATTTAACAGTTGTCAGTCTAAAGATTATTCAACAGGTAAAGTGACTACCGCATCAATAGTTAATCATGAAAATATGATTGAGAAAATAATGGAAGAATGTGGACATCTAATTAAATGAATAAGTACTCACTGTACAACGAGTAAGGAAATGATATCACAACAAATCAAACAATACAAAATCCCGTTCATTGATTTCTTAATTGTCGCTGGTCACATTTCCACCGATATTATAGTGTGTTATGAAGTAGTCATGGAAATAGGCGAGAATAGCCAATGGTTGACCAATTATCAATGTAAGCCACACAGCTAAGTTGCCACCTTGGCCACCATTCGGAAATAAGCGTGTAACTATATAGGCATAAGGCACTTGGCTTAACATGCCGAAGAAAGCCCAGAAGCGTGGCATTTTCAAAGGGATCGAAACAAGTATTTCATGAAAAAATGCGCTGATCATGAAAACAACCAAACCAGCTTGAAAGCGACTGAACCCTGACTTTAAAAGGGGTATGTATATATGCCTAAAGTTTTAAAAGAAAAGGATAATTACACTGTAAACATTAAGTATAAAATAAAATGATCGTTTAGATACTTTTAGACGAGGTCAAACTACATATGTGACTTTATTTAAACGAACTATAGGTGGGTTATTTTTATTATGTACTTCATATTATACTGTAGTATGGTGTAAAACAATGGAAATAAAAATTGAGTGATGAGAAAAATCATAATAGCCATTTAAATGTTCAATAAAAATTTACACCAAAATATCATTCTCTTTAAAAATAATGTAAGTTATTCAAGCATTAAACATGATTCAGAATCCGTCTACTGTTAGATCGAATAAATATAACTCCAATAAGTTTAAGGACTATGTGCCCAAGTCTTATTCTCACTCGAATTTGTGATATCACCAGAGGTGAAAACCAATGATTGACATGGGTACAACAACTAGTCAATATACAATGCTAACCTAGAATCGTTAGGCTCACTTTTAGCGATGTGATGAGTAGGTGGGAAGTAGGCACTGTTCAAAATGCGGATACAGCAAATCACTTTGAATGAAATGTGAAGATGCCTTAAAAATTAAGGTGATATGAAAGTAAGCCTTTCGATCTTATAGTAAACGCCAATATAGTCAAATCTGTTAACGAATAATTGTGTCCAGTTGCATTCCACACTAGAAAAGCAACCTATTTATTAAAAGGACAAAAATTAGTGTTACTTGAATGGCTTAGCCAGACATAGAGTTTTACGAGGACACTACAACCGGTATACATGTACTAAACTTTGTAGTTGATTTTTTCAGTCTAAAAGACAAATTATTTAAATGAAAAAGAAACTAGAGTAAACTGAAAACAGATGAATTTCCATGTTTTCTCCATTAATAACAGGTCAATCCGCCTTCATACCATTGAATATTGAATGGTTTCCAATGATTTATGTTATTGTTATGAGCTATTACGAGCTATTGTTGGCCATTGTGACAACTGACTAAATATGGTATGAATATGATTATTCTCTCGATAATTGATGATTAGATCTTTATCAGTTTGTGTACTGATTACTAGTTGACCTTAATCTTATTGTATTTCTATTGGAATTTCATCCTAATTGCATCGGCTTGGTAGAAACAAACGTCGTTTAAACAACTTGCTCAGTGTTATTATAGATTCTGTATTATCAATACAGATGGCATGCACACTACACAAATCCTAATTGTTAGTAAAGATTGGCATGTCTAAAGTTTTTTTAACAAATATTTTCAGTTGAAACATCGAAAGCAGTAGATTAATGGTTAAATCACTAGAAATCCAGGCACTGGGTTGTAGTTTCAGACAATGCTGTACCGACTTCATTATGAATTCCTTGATAGTATGACTAATTGTCACATAAACTTGTGGGTCATAAAAACGAACATATACCGGTGATTATTTTTTATCAATTATTTAATTAATCAATGTTTGATGTTGGACAATGGAAGAACAATAAAATTATAGTTTGGAATTTATAAGTAGATTTCATCTTCTCCAAATTTGTATATGCGTTTGTTTGCACTAGCTTTTTTTGTCCTCTGCTGTTTCTCTATGGTTTAAACTATGTACAAATTCATCTAATTTCAGCTTCATCGTACCTTTTCGATAAACATAACAATGACTAATAACATCTGGTATTATCCGTTTAAATCTTGTCTGCCATTTGAGTAGTTGATAAAGTTGTGAAAATGTTATTCAACCTCAGAAATCACTACAAAGGCAGCTGCCTTCAATAATTTATAGTTTATTATGAAAGTTACTGAAATAACTTACCGTCTAGCAAAACGATGGACAGGAATATTCCATTTTGACCAAAACGCTGGCACAGATTCCGCATTCCTACAAGAAGACAAAAATAATATTTTATGAGATCAAGCACGAAAATAAATAAGCAATTACTGCAACAGAGAGAGAAACAACTTTGACTAAATAATAATACAGTATGGTGGTATTTGAATGATAATGATAAACGCTACAATACTAGTTCATCCTCACAGAATTACGATTACCCTTGTGTTATATATAAAAAGATCGAACAAGCTCAGATTGAATTTTGGATTTGTATTTAATTTAACAATTCAGTAAATGCAACAGGTTTCAAATATCCATAATCTAACTGCTAGTCAACTAAGTATCTTCTTTCATTTAAAAACGGCACATTCTTGAAGACATATATTGTAACAAGTACATTTGAGTTTGAAATAATGAACCCGGAAGCATTGAGCGGCTGCTTCCTCCTGTCATCCACGACTCCGCAAGTAAATATTGCATATTAACAGAAGAACAATGAAAATCTTCAGCCTGAAACTAACGTGCTATAAACATGATTTTAGCATAAATTTTTGTCGTTGATAGCTTCAAGTAAACAAAATGTGGTAAATGGATAAATCCTCAGATATGCTCAAAATAAGCTATCTTTACAAATTGTTACTACATAAAGAATTAATGTGATAAGTTGTCCTGTAAAGTATTTTAACTCCGCCAGTAGAACCTTAGGGGCTACTGCCGGTCCCAAGCCCGGATAAAGGAGGAAGGTTGGACATGGGGTTGGCGACCCCATTCCGTCAAAAACTAACTTGCCAAAAAGACTCTAACCAGAAAAAATAATTCAAACCATTTTAACTCTGCCCTGGGAGTTGGAAGAAGAATTATGACGTCTCGTGATGAAAGCCGAGTCCCCTCGGAAGTCACGGGGCCGATGCCTCTTCTGACAACCAGAGCAACCATTTTTTTAGGTACATGGAACGTTCGTACATTGTGGGAGACTGGAAGACTATTTCAAGTTGCGGCAGAAATGAAAAGATACAACCTCGAGGTGCTCGGCATCAGTGAAACACATTGGACACAGGTAGGACAACTGAGACTTGCTTCAGGGGAACTGCTGTTATACTCTGGTCATGAAGAGGAAAACGCTTCACATACACAAGGAGTTGCACTGATGCTGTCCAAACATGCACAAAAGGCACTGATAGAATGGGAATCTCATGGACCCAGGATCATTAAAGCATCCTTCAAAACGAAGAAAGAGGACATTACAATGAACGTCATCCAATGTTATGCACCTACCAATGACAACAATGACGACGTTAAAGATCAATTCTACGGAATGCTGCAGTCAATCGTCGAGAAATGTTCACCAAAGGATTTGACGATTCTTATGGGAGACCTGAATGCCAAGGTTGGAATGGACAACACTGGATATGAAGACATCATGGGACGACATGGACTGGGAGAAAGGAACGAAAACGGTGAGAGATTTGCAAACCTATGTGCCTTCAACAAACTGGTCATCGGTGGCACAATATTCCCGCACAAACGCATACACAAAGCCACATGGATTTCACCGGATCACACTACTCAAAACCAATTCGACCATATCTGTATCAACAAAAAGTTCAGAAGGACTATGGAGGATGTGAGAACCAGGAGAGGAGCTGATATAGCTTCAGATCACCACTTGCTGATCGCCAAAATGAGATTGAAGCTAAAGAAGCACTGGACAGCGGGGCAGACAACATCACAGAAGTTTAATACAGCCTTTCTTCGGGATACCGTAAAACTCAACGAATTCAAGATAGCCCTCACCAATAGGTTCCAGGCCTTTCAGGATCTACTCAATGGAGAGGAAGCAACATTGGAGAACAATTGGAAAGGGATTAAGGAGGCAATCACTTCAACATGTCAGGAGGTCCTTGGTCGCAAGAAGCACCATCACAAGGAATGGATCTCTGTTGGTACTCTTGAAAAAATTCAAGAAAGGAGGAACAAGAAGGCAGCTATCAATGTCTGCCGAACAAGAGCAGAGAAAGTTAAGGCGCAAGCCGAGTATACAGAAGCAAACAGGGAAGTGAAGAAGAGCATCAGAGCTGACAAACGAAAATATGTGGATTATCTAGCAATGACGGCGGAAAAGGCTGCAAGAGAAGGAAACTTGAAACAATTGTACGAAACTACAAAGAAGCTCGCCGGAAACTATCGTAAACCAGAACGACCAGTGAAAAGCAAGGAAGGGAAAATAATCAGCAACACTGACGAACAGCGAAATAGGTGGGTGGAGCACTTTAAGGAACTATTGAATCGACCAGCTCCACTGAACCCACCCAACATCGAAGCAGCATCCAAGGACCTCCCAATTAATATTGGCGCACCTACGATTGAGGAGATCAGTATAGCCATCAGACAAATCAAGAGCGGCAAAGCAGCAGGACCAGACAACATTCCAGCAGAGGCAATGAAAGCAGATGTGGAAGCAACTGCGAAAATATTTCACATTCTCTTCAAGAAGATTTGGGATGAGGAACAAGTACCATCAGATTGGAAAGAGGGATACCTCATCAAAATACCAAAGAAAGGCGATCTCAGCAAGTGTGAAAACTACAGAGGCATCACTCTTCTTTCAATACCAGGCAAAGTCTTCAACAGAGTATTGCTAAACAGAATGAAGGACTTCGTAGACGCCCAACTTCGAGATCAACAAGCTGGATTTCGTAAGGATCGATCGTGTACTGACCAAATTGCTACATTACGGATCATTGTGGAACAATCAATTGAATGGAACTCACCACTCTACATCAACTTCATCGACTACGAGAAAGCATTCGATAGCGTGGATAGGAAAACACTGTGGAGGCTTCTTCGACACTACGGTGTGCCTGAGAAAATAGTCAACATCATACGGAATTCTTATGATGGATTCAACTGCAAAATCGTACACGGAGGTCAGCTGACAGACTCTTTTGAGGTGATGACCGGTGTCAGGCAAGGTTGCTTACTCTCACCCTTTCTCTTTCTCCTGGTGATCGACTGGATTATGAAGACGTCAACATCTGGAGGGAAGCACGGTATCAACTGGACAGTTAGGACGCAGCTGGACGATCTGGACTTCGCAGATGACCTGGCTCTTCTATCGCACACTCAACAACAAATGCAAGAGAAGACGACGAGTGTAGCAGCAGCCTCAACAGCAGTAGGTCTCAACATACATAAAGGAAAAAGCAAAATTCTCCGATGCAACACAACATGCACCAACCGAATCACGCTTGATGGAGATACCTTGGAGGACGTTAACACCTTCACATATCTTGGCAGCATCATCGACGAGAAAGGTGGATCGGACGCAGATGTGAGGGCGCGGATTGGCAAAGCAAGGGCTGCATTTCTACAGTTGAAAAATATCTGGAACTCCAAACAACTTTCAACCAAAACCAAAATCAGGATTTTCAATACAAATGTCAAGACAGTTTTACTGTATGGAGCGGAAACTTGGAGAACTACGAAAGCCATCATCCAGAAGATACAAGTGTTTATTAACAGTTGTCTACGCACAGTACTTCGTATTCGTTGGCCAGACACCATCAGCAACAACGAACTGTGGGAGAGAACAAGTCAGATTCCAATGGAGGAGGAAATCAGGAAGAAGCGGTGGAAATGGATAGGACATACACTACGAAAAGCACCCAACTGCGTCACGAGACAAGCCCTCACATGGAACCCTCAAGGTAAAAGGAAAAGAGGAAGGCCAAAGAACACACTACGCCGAGAAATAGTGAAAGATATGAGAGGAATGAACAAACATTGGACAGAACTGGAGAGGGAAGCCCAGGACAGAGTTGGTTGGAGAAAACTGGTGGGCGGCCTATGCTCCATTGGGGGTAACAGGCGAAAGTAAGTAAGTAAGTAAAGTATTTTACTGATAATAATTATAATATTCATGGTGATATCCCAACAAGTGGAAATTGATACTTCTGACGATTCGTGTCTTAAGGGGAGTTATTTCTTCAGAGTAAGTATATAAAAACTTTTGCTGCTTATCTACATTTCAAATTATTCAGATTTACGATTACTAGTAGCTTAATAGAAATCCGATATAATATCAAACATCATCGAAGTATTAACTGTCATTTGATTCGCTTTGTGGAGGCCATTGAAATCAAACCTCTCGTTGTTATGACAAATCAATTTTAATTACGAAACCTTTACATAATCTGCGTATTCTATTTCATATTAAAAAAAACACTAATATTCACTTGTGATTTTAATTTTTTTATCAAATAAAATGCTTGAATCTATAATCACCTATTAATAAATATCCCTATTTTGTCTCTTAATTGATATTTATAACGTCATCTCGTCCTCAATACGAATTTATTTTCAACAATGCAAATACTAATAAATCTTGACAATTGTATGAGTAATTTTGTGCTTTCTCGCTTTTTTTTAATGATTTACTGTCCAGTTTTGAACTTGACTTCACTAAATAAGGTAATATAAAACTATTTACAATGATTTTAAAAATTATAACAATAGGCTGTTTAGAGCTGATGAGAAGCGTCAAAATCAAACAAACTCATTCTGCTCCCGAAATCTCTTTATTTTGGCTTTTGTGGAGGTTTATCAACGTATCAGTTTGGATAAAATTCAGAAGTCTGTTAAGTAAATCCTTATGATTATTATTGACATGATTTTTGATCATCTCACAGTTACACATTTTAACTGGAAAGATACAGTCTTCAAAATGAACTAAGAGATTATTACTCAGTTTATACTTCAAGTCGCTTAATCTGTCGACTGATGTTTGCATAGTTTTAATGAAATTTAATACATAGACTTGTTGGAATGCATTATGCACCATGAACTTACCACCAATCACTGTAGAAGAACCGATCTCCAAAGTATAGTATCTCTCCAATCACATTTAATAAGGAATGAAATACAAGGTAGAAAAACAGTAACCATATCAGATGATTTGGTATGGCCAATTTCAGACAACGTTCAACGATCAAACTAAATCGTGATTCTGTGAATGGGACGAAACTGTTTGACAGTATAGGTAAAATCCATTGTTGAATCAAACATAGTATAAGTTGGGGAATGAATACCTGTTGAAATAAATTTAAACTGAAACATTTATTCATAAATTAAGTGAAAAAAAATAAGTATGATAATTAATAAAAACAAATGCTCAGTTGAAGAAGGTTAATTATTACGTGATTTAGAAGTGATTACGGTAATCTATTTTGACTAATTAGTGTTTTCGGGGAGTTCAGTGACATTTCAAATTATTCTAGATTTAAAGGTGGAATTCATCACTCTAATTGGAAACTGCGATGACATATTTTTAAACTAAGTAAGACTAGATGAATTTGTTATGCACACTTCTTTCAACTATTTTATGGAGCCGGCTAGTCGAAACGCATGACAGTGATACCTAACAATATCTCCTAGTATGGATTGTGAAAGGAAATCTTGCTGATTTCCGTTTGGTCCTATTGATGAATAGTTCGAAAACAATGGAAACATGCAGCGTTTTAGGAGTTATAGAAACACAAGTTTATACACCATAAGTGTGTAGTGCCTCCACATACATTCCAGTTCGCTTACATCTGACTTGGTTAAGCCCTTTCGATTAATTTATTTATCCAAGCCATTCGTATAGCAACAACTCATATGTAGCATTGGTATTTTTTATTATCTGGTTTGTATGAGCTTATACGACTGAGCATTGTTTACGCCTATGCGCTTACTCATCCTTTTCGCTTTAATGTTAAGCTCTTAATTTCCCCATGAACTCATATGATTTGTATCGCTTGCTTTTGACCTTGTCAATCATTCATGGCTTTTATTCATGTGTGTGCACGCCTATTTCGCTTGTCATATGTCTGTCTTATTTTTATCTGACTATATATTCTTAGTCATACTCTATCTCTTGGAGTTGGCTCGTTAGCCATTCTCCACATCGCTCGCATTGTAATCCAAAGAGTTGGCTCTTAGCCTTCTCCGATCCGCTTCGCTTTGTGGTATGTTCCGAATAAACGTATTCATCAATATGAGTTCATCTTCTGATTTATAGACCGAGCTTAAGAACACGCAGTAAATCGGCACACTACAAGTGATGCAGATTTGTCCTTTGAAAACTGTGAAAGATATGGATGTAAAAATATCAGATTTATGTTCACGGCATATACATTCGTTCAAATTGGAGTCAGATAGTTGCCCGCTAAAATTAGACAAACTACCTAAATTATCTATCGTAAGGAGTTCCAGAACGATCTAATTCACGATTCAATATGAGTAATTAATCGAAATTTATCAGGCCTGAAATGTCATTCTTTGGAGTTGAAAATAAAGAGGAAGTACAAAGCGAACTAGCAAAAATGTAATAATTTGGTTCATATCAAACAAAATGAATATTACACCTAGTTTCCATTGTAGTTCATCGCATTAATAAATTCTGTGGACCAAAATTACCAGAATAGAAATAGGTAAGTGGACTTAAAACCTCCTCCGTATACGAAATTCCACATATTACATCTAGGCTAACGCCGTTCGAGAGACGGTGATAATATGAAGCCAAGTACAGACTAAGTGGAATGAATCTATTTCATGCATACGTATATGCAGACAGACACTAAAGTAAGAAACGGAAAAGCGGAGCAGAGAAAGGGGATATTCCAGCTTTATTTATTAAGGCGTGAATAACTATTTAGGGCCAGATAAAAATAAGCTAAATATATGTCATCAACAGAGTACCTGATATCTACATGATCAAATAAAAACAGTCAAGAATATAAGCGGATAATTAACAAGGTAAGGTATATATAGTTGATGTTTCAAGAAGAACACGTTGATTAGCTTGTTCGAAAGCTAGAAGGATTAGTGTTGGCCCACTTAAAAGTGCTCTGCACACCTGTCTCGCCCTTCTTGAACGTCAGTGACTGGTTTGCCTTCTTTGTTCTTGACTGGTCGCTCTGGATTACTTTACTTTCCAACAAGCTTCTTCATTGCATCGAATATCTGAGTCAGGTCAGCTAATTCTTAAATGCTACAACAGTAACATCTGATTATTATCAGACAGTAAGTGGTTTTTCTATAGCAGATCGATTTAAGATGAGATCCGCAATTTATGGTTACTAAAGCCAGTAACCCTAATGCATAGCTTATTAAATATTCAACACGAATTATATACTGTTTATTTTTTCTCAGACGATTCATGAATGCTAATCAATCTTGTAAACTAGAATTTACAATTCCTTGTGGAAAAATCTGTTGTGGTATATTACTAAAGTACATATATGATAAGATATAAAACCCTATAGATCTGAACATTTTCTCTGATCATGAACTTCTGGAATAGTGAGACAAGATTTATATGAATATAATTTTCACTGCAAAATTTATCAAACTAAATGCTTTCTGATCTTTCCTTTGACGGTAAAAGTAAAAGTCAAACCAACCAAATAAGATATTTTTGAATATACTCCTACATCATGTTAACTAACTTACCAATTCGAAAATCCGTTTGAACAAAAACTGCTTCCGTATCGTCATTGTACGAGGAAAGTTTAATTCGTAGCACAGTGTTGGTGCAAATATGAAATAGTATATATCCCGGATTGTTAGATTATTCGGATAAGTAACATATAATTTACGACTAAATTTCATGCACGTTTCATCATGTACCAAGACATTTACTTCTAACTCAACTGGGTCTGGGTTTATATGATTGTAGTCTTTGCTGTCACACACACTAAATCGTGAATGTTGAGCTAGGGGAGAAAAAGTAAACGGAATACTTCAACATAAGTACTTCTTATAACTTAAAAAATATTATGTGGTATTGAAATAGTGGGACTTTTAATTTCTAAATTTGCAGTAGATAAAAAGTAAAAATTTGTTTATAGTTTGCGTATTTTAACACAATAATTTGTTCATATTTGTGAAGCTATTCAAATAATTGCAAAACGATTATCAACGTAACTCTGACAATTTGAAATTGTTTCATGTGGGACTCACGTATGACTCAAATAGTACTTAATAAGTCAAAATATTTGGTCAGCTTAGGAGGCAAACTAGACATTTATCTTCTTACATCCTAACTATTTAGTGAAATGCAATAGATTTCTAGAAATTATCTCTGACCATTACGGGCAAGCTATCATACAAATGGAGTCATATGCTTCCGAAATGGAAATATATCACAGCATAAATACTACCATTTATATTGGTCTTTGTGTTCAACAAACGAGATCAATAATAATAGAAAATACTGTTCGGAACTTAGTCTATTAAAAATCTATAACATCAGTGCTTTACTTGGACAAACAGAGGTGAAGTAATCTAAATACTTATTCCGTCAGAATTTGTGCTTGATTGTTTGCCACTGCTTATGTGGGTAAATAGTATATTTTGTCAGTTCATAGCAACTTCATATAAGAAACCATCTAATGTGGTCTTGAATGAGTGATACTTGACGAAAAACAATCTAATAATTCCTCAGTCTGATGATTTATTTGTATGAACGATGAATATAGATTTAAATGCCCATAAAAATAAAATTCAGTTTTTATGAGGCATGATAGTTCTAACTGATTTAAGGTACACAGATCTAAGCTTTTTGAAAACTTCAATACTGTTACTATTAGGATGTTTCATTAAAGTTTTTAAGTAACCAAGTTACTAATAAATTGTCAATTATGGACTCAGGTTATTCACTGGTTGTCACATATAGGTAGTAAATCTCAGTTCTTTGAGTTTTAAAGTCTGAGGCATTTAACTTCATCCAAGGATTAAAATGTGTTACGAAGCTATTGAATTTTATTAATTTTAACACTGTACATTCGATATTATTTCCTAGAGCACCAGCTAATTAACTGCTTATAAGAGATCAATATAAATTCTAGGAACCGCGTCGAGACTTCTTTCTTACATTTATATTTTTTCGATTTGTTTCGTGATATTGCCATTTATAAACTGAGTTATCTGCTTTTGCTGTGATGAATTCCTTTCCCCTAGAAGGGGAGTTACCTAATATAGATTATTACATGTGAGTATTTTTAATAAGTTGGTTCGATTTTATTGTACATAAGTGTGAAAATAGCTTGAACACGAACAGCCAAGTCACATCAATATTAATTAATTATTCCATCCAATGATTTATTATACTACACTGACAATTATGTGACTGTCGATTTCCTTTGTTTAAATATGCACTTCAATATATTGTTCAATGAGTCAAACTAGTGACGTCATTAATATTAATTTATGTCGGAGTATATAGTTTGTTCTCAAAGTCCCGTCAGTAATTATAAAAAATTTTGAAGTCTAATCTTTCACGTCTTGTGAACTTCTCTGGCTGAAAGACTCAATGGTGAGAAACTGTTGGAGACGCTTGTCATTGTCTATCATAATGTTCAGAAAGGTAAAAATAAATATCGTTAGCAGTCAAAAACAATCCGAATCCTCTAAAATTTTCATCCAGTTAACGGCTTTAGGCAGCACCAATCAAGAAACAGAACTGCAAGGGCGGTCATGTCGAAAACTGTTCAAGGTTATCACGTGGGCGTAGCTGAACAACAGCTATTGTTAACTAAAGGTTATTTGAAAGGTCGGAATTGTAGGGAAGTAAACTATAATATATCTTGTATTGATTACTTATTTACCGTTGTTTTTTGACGTTCTTGTAAATTCGTCCCCAACCTCTGCATTGTTACTTATAAATAGGTTGACCTTGAGAATGAAAAATAGCATCCTTAATGCCATTTAATTTTGGATTTTACATAGTTTATAACAATAACAGACTTTACCACTCTTTTTCATAAAATGAGATTGCTATTTTGAATTTAAGCTAAATCTATTTACACAGTTCTACAAAAGGATGTCTGAAGTCATATAATGAGATGGTGGAGAAAATTTGTAGCTTAGGTGGATTATTATGGTGTAGCTTGACCATGAAGTCTTATATTGAACAAGTATAGATCGCAGTGTAACTTTAGTTACAGGAAGTAGAATGTACGGCATACATTATAAAGTAGCTATATATCATCCTCATAATCAGAAAATATAGTACTACTTGTGCCGAAATATTCCTACTATTTGTTAAATAGTTTAGCTAGAATGATCGCCTTTTTGTCACAATCCAGGGTGCGTGTTTCGTCCTATTTGGGACTCGTCATCTATACATACCGGCATCTCAGAGTTGATGCTCAGTCCGGGACTCGAAGCAAGTACCTTACGTTTCAAACGCCATCATATTATCCACTGAACTTGTAAGGTGAAGGTAGTATCGAGGAAATCCTCACAGAATGCCCATACGCCAAAGAGACTGATCAGTTGCAGTCTTGAACATCAAGGCAAGATTCAAACAACCAATACGAATAAACTGATAAAAAGTTTGTCGTCTTTTGTGGAAAAAAATTCTACTGAAATTCTACAACAAAATGAACTTATGTCTTATTCCTAAGTTTTTGAGATGTCTTTTTATTTAAACGAGCCATATTTATCAGACTGAATTATTATTAGATCACACAGTAACTGCTGGAAAAGACTGTTTTTGAGTGAAAACCTGTTTGAAACATTTACTGCTTGGTTTTCGCTACCTATGAGGCGTTTCCTTTGGTTCTTTGGACTACGCACCATTAATGAAATTAAATATACTCGATACATCACTCTTGATGGAGATGCCTTAGAGGACGACAAAACCTTTACATATCTGGACAGCATCAGTGACAGTCAAGGTAGATCCGATTCAGATGTTTGGGTGCGGATCGGCAAAGCAAGTCCTGCATTTCCACAAGTGAAGAACATCTGGAACTCCAAACAATTATCAATCAACACCAAAATCAGAATTATCAATACAAATGTTAAGATAGTTCTATTGTATGAAGCGAAAACTTGGGAAACTACCAAAGCCACCATTCAGAAAATACAAGTGTTTATTAAAAGTTTTCTATGTGGAATACTTCGGATTCGTCGACCAGACACCATCAGCATCGACCTACTGTTGGAGAGAACAAACCAGATTCCATTGGAGGAGGAAATCAGGAAGAAGCGGTGAAAGTGGATAGGATACACTGCGAAATGCACCCAATTGCTTCCGTCACAAGACAGGCCCTTTTTTGGAACCGTTAAGGTCAAAGGGAAAGATGAAGACCATAGAATATAGATCTGAATAGTATATGCGATTTCATGCATTTGATAAGGTCTTCATTTTATCAACCCCGTTCGGTATTGCTTCAAACATAATCGACTACATGATCTTATTAACAACATGCAAAAGAGAAATGGTAAAATTCACATGCCATAGTAACAAAAAAATATACTGACTATGACAGTAAATAATTCGAAATAAACCTATGAAATACCTTACATTTTCTTGTTCGACTTTTATGTTTCTTTGTAGGTTTTACATTGTTTGTTGAAGTCATAGATTTAGAAGAAAAATATGACATTTTATTTTTTCTACTTTGAATAGCTTGATCTTTGAATTTAAAGACGTTTTCATTTTTAAATCTGAAGTTATCAGTTTTGCTGTCTGACTCAGTATTCGTTTCTCTATGTTCTAAAACTGGAGAACATTTTCGCTTGGATACGTGATTTTCTTCAGGAGATTCATTCATTGAATTATCTGTATTATTCGTTTCAAAACAATCATCAGAGTGATGAGAATCGATATTATTGCTCTTATGCTCTGGGTTCAAATTCTCATGTTTGCCGATAAACATATGATCAGGAGCTAATTCCGGTGACGAATTTCCTAATATACCCAAAACCACATTGATATTGCTATCCCCATCTTCATTTGATTCACGACACCACCGATTAACAGTAGCATAGGAAAATAGTTTCAGAAATACGATAGTGTATACTCCAAGCACAGGAGCACTGAACACTAAAATAATAAAATAATATGAAAGATTAACATGATTAGGAAATTTAACCGGTGATAAGTTATTTGAATTTCGGTAACAATAACTAACTATAACGTATGAAAAAATTATTATACCAGATTTTTTCTAATTTGAGAAAAAACTGTATCAGTCCTCACTCAGTAATTAGTGTCAATAGGCGACCATAAATGTAATGTTCACAGTGAACTGATCTAGATACATAATTTCTAGACTAGTGGTGTCCATAGTTAGATGTAGATTGAGAGCTACTTATTATCGTGTAACCCAATCGAAAAATTGAAGTAAAAAGTCACTTAGTGCAATGCAAAGTGAGGTAATGATTGGTGACATTTGATATCATTCCATAATAGAGATAATGTGAAACTTCAACTTCGGTATCACGAAGTTGAAAAGGTATATTTTATTAAAAAATTCGCACGTTAATAAGATTTATTTTTATATCGGTTGAAAGGTATAATTCTTAGAAATTTTACACCTTGCTGTCTTATGTCACTATCCATTTTTCTCAATGACAGCAAATGAGCTCAACAGAAAAATGATGTTTTAGAACGTTACATTAATGAATAACTGTTCAAGATATCTTACTTCCTCCAGAAAACACAGCAAAATAATCTAAAGGGAACGTTTATAAGGCACGGTAATTAATGTTTTCAACGACTGTATTTCCGACAATAGCTGGCAACAGTACACCGCTCAAACTAGAAGTGTTTAGTTAGCTTATTAATTGGAATTTATTTATTTATCCGGTCACTTTTATTTTCGCTAATACAGTGCTACACAAGTCTCATCCATAAACGCTAAATTAAGAAGTAAGACGCAAGCCAGCCATTTTATATTTATTTGTTTGATAGATAAAGGAAGTATTGAGATGGTATTATTTCTTGACAAGGTTTCAGACACTATTTATTCCATATGGAACTTTATTACTTTTCATGAATCTATATCTGACATTCATGACATAATGATAAGTCCCATGCTAGCTGTTCTGTTCAATGTATAATACATTGAATATGACCAAACTTATTGACGAACACGACATTCATACCTGTCAAGAACGTGAATACACAAAAACAAATGAACATATTAGGATCTTGAAATGCATAAATTATTTATATACAACGTACAAGGATTAAAATCTATTGATACTATCGTAATGATCGGGAAGGCGAGTAGACAAAATAGATTCCAACAAGTAAGTGCTGTTGCAAGTTTATCACTAATTAAACCACGAACAATTGCACATTCAACTAACCAAGCGAATATAATGAAGACATTAGTACCTAAGTAAAAAATAGAAAACAAAGTTATAACATTTTTAAATCGTATGTGAGTCTGGAATTTAAAATAACACTGAATGATTGATTGAATAGTAAGAGTGTTTTACGATTGAGTGCGAGATCAGATTCGGCATGACATTAGCATAGGCATAGTTCGAAAGCATTCCTTTAACACAGTAATGGACCGAAAATTATAGTAATTCACACTATCCCTTGCTTACTACCTTCATAAAAGCTGAAATTTGTGCCTGGTTATTATGTTCGCTTACACTTAATGATGGCATTCGTATTGTACAGAGGTGGGTACTAACACCTACTGGACGGATTAGTGAAGCCTAGACATTTATTGAACAAGTTTAAGAAAGCCATACACTATTCATGCTACTAATTGGTTTGTAATCAGTAGAGCTAAGAAATCAAATTACTGCTTAGCTCCAGCTAATGCTGATGATGATGTGTTTGATTAGTGGATATAAAGTGTTCGATCAAAACTTGACTGGAATTGAACTTATGGACCCTCATACTTGATGAATAACAAACAAAACGGACTATATTTTGTATCAATGAAGAAAGCTACATATATATAATAAGGGTATCACAGTTAGAAATATCCACGAAAAATACTTTCCACCAATCAAATCAAGTTGAATAAATATTGAAAATATAGTTTATTGTAAAGGTGATTCATAATCACCTTATTATTATATCTGATTTGCGATAAAGACCTTTATGAATGGAAGAATAATAGTTTCTCTAAAGGATATTCATGAGGCTAGATAGACAGGAGATTATGAAAAGTAGTTCAAATTTGTAGAGAAAACAATTAGAAGGGTTATGTACGATAGAACATCATCAGAAAACGATAACAAACTTACAACTGAATAATCCAATCACGGCACATTTCTGTTGAGCTTGTAAAAGGAAACGAATCCATGAAAAAGGATCCATAATGATTCCATACCTATAAAATGCAACCATTCGCATACATATATTTGGTTGAGGTAATTTATTAAATTTCTTTGAACGTTGGTGGGCAATAAATGAAACCGTACTATGGTAGATAAAAAAAATACTAATCGTTATGCAGACAGTATTTTTCTTGTCGATGACTTCATTTACTTAAGCTGTTTAGTCATATTTCTAATTAACTTTATTTGCTAAAATAGTAGGCAATAATAAAAATCGTGGAATGATCCCAACATTACCGTGCCAGTGCGTTTCACTAAAAGCCTTCTTCAAAATCAGTCAGAAGAGTCGGCTTAAAAGAAATACAAATGCAAAACTTACATACGCTAGAGATTAATGCTACCAAACAGTTAAACCCTTTTGTGTACAACGCCAGTATGTTCAGTCGTTCATTCTTCTATGGTCATGAATTTTCTTCCGATTGTTTCAAATTCTCCGGGAATTGCCGTTTTTATTTTTTTTTTTAAATAATCAAGTCTAATCCTTTCCAAACATTTTCATAACTATTAATTACTCAATGTTACAACTTTTAATTATTCTGTTCTTAATAGCTATCAGGTGGACAGTTATCTTCATCTTAATTCTTCTTTAATTATTTCTGAAAAAAATAACTTCGTTTTTACAAAACCGATATTTTTAAATGGGTTTGTTAGACATCTTTTATGTTTCTTGAGTAATTATTTGTTCGTCCTCTTAGCAGATGGTCTTATTCACGACACATATTATTACTTCAGATATCCGCTTCTGTTGGTTCCAGTTGCAAAATATTTCTGCAATGAACTCTTGCTAAAGAATCCTTTCTAGTCAAACCAATTTCAGGTTCTAGGAAGCTATTATGAATCTTGTTAAAAGAATCACCACAATTCTTGAATCTGATGGTTGTTTTTCTTCATTCAAAGTGATCATTAAACTAGTTACAAGTAATCAGTCTCTTTTAAAAGAACTGCTGAAGTTAATATCATTAATTTTGTTTCAGAATCTTAATAGTTAGCGTAAATTTGTCATGTCACGTTGAATTTAATTTTTGATCAATAGCCTATTGAATTACAAAAAATCTCCCACACTTTCATATGATCAAGGAAACCTAATTTTATAATCTTGCATCCGGATCATGTAAATGTTAGCAGCATAAATGATACACAGAAAATACCACTTAATTCTAATGGCCATGGCTGTAACAATAACAGTCTTTTCACAGGTAAACATGAAATCTACTTGGTGAGTTACAGTCAGTCTACATCGTCATGCTGAATAATCTCAAATATCAAGGAGCAAATGCAGATAGATATTAAATACCTCAAGCAATCGCTTCCTAATTAAATTTGTAAAGTCTTCTGGAAATATCGATCGATTTTATAACTTTAAGTAATATGTTATGCGTGGTAGACTTTACTGCACTTTGATTGTATATAAACCCAAAACTTTTAGACAGAATCCAGTTAACTTATTGTTGAACAGTTGTGTACTAATTCTTGAAACTTAGCTTCGAGTCGTTTAAAAGTGGATACTCTAACTGATGATACAAAATCCTTTTGCTTAGTTGTAAATTGTACCTTATTAGCTTCTGTGTGATAACACTGTGGTTGAGCCTCTCGACAGCATAAACTAGATTTCCAAAACAAATTCGACTAATTCTTATTGCTAATGAAAGAGTCCTTAGAATTTGATTTTTTGAACGTTACAGAAATAGTTTGAACTCTTTAAATGAGTAGCATATTATCCATCAAGGTTGTTCTTTTAAAAGCTATAACAAAACATTTATTGTTATTAATCACTTACAGTTAGGACAGATTGTTTATTAAATTAAACATATTTGGAACAAATAAAGTAGCACAAAATCGACAAATCAGTTAATAACAACCAAGTGGTTGTTGTTTTCATTGGATGATAATTTTTTTACCACTTTTTCTATTTACTTAGTAATTCAAAAGCTTATCACTTTCATAAACTCTTCTGCTTATATATATACAGTGAATAAATTTGCTTAATAAGAACTTTTGCACTTGATAAACAGTAACAATCATTTCGTAAGAAAAAGAAAATCCTTGAAACTTGAATGTCCAGTGAAAATAAATTCATGTGTAAAATCAGTGTTTTTATATTAGATATTAAATATATACTTGTGGTAATATGCTGCAATCACTAAATTTACAGACAATTCGATGCCAGCTTAAGAAAGCTAGAATCATGATTAGTCAACTAATACAGTACACTACATAAATTGTCAATAAGACAGTAAATTTTTGATGTTATGCTAAGATTTGTTAATTATTTTAAAAGGTGAAATGAATGTATAAACCTTAAATGGCCTCAAAAGAATATCGACAATAATAAAAATAAGACAACACAACATTCGGCATTCTCAGCTGATGAAAACGAAAATCGTTTCATTGAAAAAGTGCTCATTGTGATAAAGTTTCATTCTCTGAGCTGGATATTTTGGTTGTGCACTCGACCACAATCATCCACCTGAGTTACAAATTTTCTCCACTATCTAAAACGTGCTTTTTATTCACACCTCAGAATGTTGCATTATCAAATCACTCAATAAGCATCAGTTGATTTGTGTTAGCATAGCAGATACTATTTGACGGTTTAAATATACTTTTTAGTTTATATTAGAATAATGCTTTTATAATTAGACATAATATATTGTTTCCAGTACCATCCCATGAATAATATTGTTTACTTTCTTCCATATTGGATAAGTGCAATAAAATAGGGCAATTATAATGATAATAATAGTGATCATCACTATTATTATCATTATTGTCGAAATTGTCAGATTAAGTGGTGCACACACTGCTCCAGTGAATTTTGCTGATGATCATATGCGAAGGCTAAAGGGTCATACTTATAGAGGTTAAAGGTTATGGACCGACCTGAAAAAACCTGTGCTTAACTTTTTCACTTGTCCTAATAATTGAAGTGCATATAAATAACGCTTACAAATTAACGAATACAATGAGTACAATGAATTATTCTATCAAATTTGGCTTTATTATTAAATTAAGATAATTTTATCAATAAACAAAATTAAATATTAGTTCACTGTCTCCTAAATGTTAAGATTTCTACAGTAGCTATCGGTTTACGATTAAATTAACAATTAATCGGTTCTTCGATGAAGATTTCTGTTCTTATCGCCAATTAAGATGAGAATTTACCTAACAAACGCTAGGCTAATTTGTAAGTACAATATTATAACAAGTAAATATTAGGAGGCGATTCGTTCATTTTGATGAAATACAACTCTTGATACTTTGTCATGAAAGAATTGTCAGGTTCAGGTGTAATAATCAACAACAAACTGACCTGTCATAAAGCGAAATCCTTCAGGAATCCCTATAATCTAAGCGGACAATTCTATCCTCTCCTGAAAAGTCATTCTGGATAAGGTTTTAATTTTGAAACGTGAAGGTATATCCTGAACAATAAGAAGTAAAATTATTTTATATTCAATCAGATTTGACCGATTTTTGTTATGCAAATGTAAAAAATTGTGAACATGGCAATGCATAATTATATATATATATATATATATATATATATATATATATATATATATATATATATATATCATGTTCTCTATAGTCATCTAAGCGTGAAATTTATTCTTGTAATTCCACTGACTCACTTTCATTGAATCATTAAGATAATCTGAATTAAACGTCAGTCTGATCACATGTTAAGTAATCGATTACACCTTATTTATAGTAGGAGAGGATAGATTGATGTCCTATTCGAAGGTGCACGATAAGTTTTCGAATTAACGATTCTTGAAAGTTACGTATAAAAATATTTACATAAAAACCCGTGTATGTAATAAAATATTTGATGTTTACTAAAGAAATGCAGTCTGATAAGTTCAGATTTTGTCAACAGACCGAAGAGAAGTAAGATTTCGTTATACAGAAAGGGGGTTAAACTTCCCATACTTTCCAAACACCATAAGTGTAACTAGAAAAATTAGAAGCTAGTAAACTAGGAATATCAAGAAATTAAAATGGGATGAATAACATAAATTTATGTTCTACTGAAGTGTCCAAACTTCTAATATGGTTCTAAGCTCCGTAGAAGCTTTATTTCAGTCAGTCAGCAAATATGAACTGAAGAACCTATGTATTTGGTAGCTATGATTAAAATTATGTTTATTTTCATTAGATTGATATAAACCGATGATAATAAATGAACTATGCAATGAATTAAGCTAGTATATGTATATATGCTAAATAGAAAACCTGTAACAAAATAGTAAGTAGCTAATGGTCTTTCGACAATGATTAAGCGGTAAAAACAATGCGAATACTGTTTCATTCGTTTAAAGTTGTTTTCTAAAAGTATCAATATGTATCTGATATGTAGATTGACACTACAGCTAATACACTAAAAATATAACTCTTGATCCGTTAGTACGTCGAACTTAGCCGGTATCTATCTTCACCGTTCTTTCCCACTAGTTGCGCTTCTGTACTGGATGAATGAAGCTTATCTTCTACGGTGTGGGCAGCCGGGAAGTTGCACCACCCTCATACTCATAAAAACACACGAAACCAAATTGGTCACAATCTAATCCTTTCTACACATCCGAATAACTCCCTTATCTCTTCGATCGTTTGTCGCCTTGCGCCGCTGAAGCAAACAGTTTGAGCTCTTGAAACCACGTACTAAATTACATATTGGGCTTTTAATGTTCGGACCCTATGTCAAATAGGGCAACAGGCTTCATTAGCTAGAAATCTGGAATCCCGGGTGATCGATGTATGTTGTCTCCGAAACGCGCATACAAGATCCGTGTAAAATCATAAATTTGATTTCACCTAGTGAAGATAGAGACACAACACACTTTATGCTTCGTGTTTCAAGTAGCCCTGATGCCGCTTCTCGTGGTCTCGCCGGCGTAGGTATAGTATTAAGTCCTAGGGCTATGAGACCCTGAATGACATGGTTCGAAACTGTTTGTAATGGTCCAGTTGCATTCATTCTTTGTGTTCTATCAAGTCCTAACCTTCTGAATTCCTCCTCACCTTTATCTATTTATTTTTAAGTTTATTTCGCTAGACTTTACTTCTTGAATAAAATCGTCTAACCCTAATCTCTCCGATTACTTCTAATACTTTTACTACTTCTACTACTATGGGATTTGAATTGACAATTACATCTCTGTGCTAAGGTGGTATGGTGACATGAACTGATGTATGTACGTACGTACTAAGTTCTATGTTGCTATTGATTGACTGATTGATTGATTGAGGTTTATGAGTGATACTGTGTCTGAAATTTCAGCAAACTATAACAGTTCGTACATTATGCAGGAAACTTTGCTATTTATACTCATAGATGATTACACAATTGTGAAAATATTATTTACCAATACCATGTATGATAAAACGATAGCAATTGAAAATATACTGAAAAATATCAAGAAATAATATCTGATTTTAGGGTAGTTTACGAACACCTAGTCATAGTAAATTTTGAGAGGCAAATTACTACACAGTAAAGCTTTCAGTCGAGTAATAAGGGATCATTCACTGATAGTTAACAGAAGTTAACAATCTGCACTACTCAATATATGGATTTACTATAAAATTCGGAATAGTTAGCTGTTATGTTTTAATAAATTAATTTGCTTTTTCATATGATCGAACTTGTCAACTAAGATCAATGGACAAATTTTGCTCTTAAACTTTTATCAATAAGTAAATTGAAAAATTGAATTCGATTTCTTTAAAAAAATAACACATTCATCTCAGATGATCGTGACGCATATTATTCGATTAAGGGTTTGTTAGTATAGAAAGTTAGTAATATAAGAACAACATTTGTTATCAGCATTTTTACTTTTCAGGAAAATCTTTCACAATTCATACATTTCTCAAATCGTAATCTTTTTGTGCATCCTTGTGCATTGAACTAAGATGGTTTGTCCAAATAACCCTTTTGGGGCTGATATCTGTTGTTAAGATGGAATTCAAGGAATTTTAAAAAACAAAATATATGGCATTTTCAAATATTGTTTCAATTAACCTAATAAGTCAGCTGTTCACGGAAAGTTCAAACTAGATAAAATATTTCTGTGGACTGTTTTTTTTTTCATCTTAAAGCATAGAATCCATTTTTTTTATTCTGGTTATATTCACTTTGTCGATGTATTTGCTTAAAGATCAGTTGACAACTTTGACTACAATAACTTCGATTGTTTCTTGAGATGTATAAATAAAAGTCGAACTTCATAAGTGATGACTTTTAAAGTTGGATATAAAGGAAATCGGTTTTTTTCACCTATGTAATACTGTTATAGTTAAAATGTAATCAAATACCACACTGGTCAACGTATCAACACAAATACATCAAATGCCACATAAATAGTACAATGCAAACTAATGTATACACTAAACTGTCTAGTTTTGCACGACTGTACTAATTAATTGAGTCCCTGAAACCTTAATTAAAATGGTAATTTGTTACCAGATTTATTGTTTATACGTGCACACAGAAACAAATAAAATGTTAGAAAAAATTGATAAAATTTTACGAAATTAAAAGTACACCAATCAGTATAACATGACCGTAATTATAATGATTATAATAAGTTATCTAACTGATTAGAAAAAAAATTTTGTTTACATTTTTAAGTTAATCAATACATTATGGTTTAAGTAAGAGGAATGTAATCATCGAAATATTCTGATACAAAAATACTCCAATATTTGAACGCGTAAAGGAAGACTTGAGAAACCGCAGTTTAATACTCAGTGAAATGTCTCAAGTGAAGACAGTGGTACTCTCCTAGGAATACTTTTACAGAGTAAAAGTGATAGACACAGAAGCAGTCCCATGGACCTCTGAACTTCAGGAGACAAAAATTAATATCAAATTAACAATAATTGTAAAATGCAGACATAGCACTAAAACTAAGCTTGTGTTTTAAAGAATATGTTAGTTGTCAACTTGAAATTTATTTTTATCCGTCTCGATTTACTACTACATGTAACAAGAGTGAAACCAAAAGTTAGGTGTGATTTAATGCTACCTTAAAATTGAGGATTATGTGTTTGAAGAAGCTAGGAAACTAACGGAATTAGACCGACCATTGTTGCTCTGTATCCAAAAAACTTCAGTAAATGTAAATGGAATAAACATTAGAATGCAGTAGAAGTTAAAAATGCAAAACGCACACAACAGACTAAAGATCAATCTCCAGCAGTTGTTTGTGACTAGTTAATTCTAATCTGAATTCCTCATCACCTTCATCTTTCTCTTTAAAATTTATTTCACTGGATTATGCTTCTTGAATCGTATCTTCGAACCCTAATTTCCGTTACTCCTAATACTCATGCTACCTCTACTACTATGGGATTAGAATTAACAATTCCATCTCTGCGCGCTAATGTGGTATGGGAAATTGAACTAATGTATGTTGTTGCTGACTGACTGAAACACGCTTGCTAAAGATAAACTTGTCTTTCTGTTACACTGATTTTAAGATGACAGACTAGGTGACTAAGATTGTAACTGATTATTGTAACCAAAATTTGTTCCATGTTAACCACTTCAATCAAATTTTAAAATGCAGTCAATTTAAATTTTTTGCGTGGTTGTTTTACATGATTTGAAGTTGGTAAGTATTTCATAATAAAAATTCTATCAAGATGCTAAAACTAATTTTGGCTCTTTATTGGAATTTGTGTATTATGTAACAAAAACTAGTTTTAAGTAATTTAGATTTATCCACAATTATTGGACTGCGCAAATCACTATCTATAATATTAAAAATGGTTCTATTTACAATGAAACTTACTTGATAATGTTTTCCAAAGCCATTCTAGATGTTGAGATGACAAGTATAAAGGCGGCCAGATTTAAAAGACCACGAAAGTTGTTAAATCCACTGGATGTTGAAAATAGAGATTGAACAGGCCGATGAATTCTGCGAAAAGAGAAATGTGAATATATTCATAAAACATCCATTCATAAGCTTGGATATTGTTCGATATTTCAGCATGTTATATTTTTTCTTATTCTGTTTAATAAGTGCTGACCGCTTCATTTATCTCGGGATGGCTTCGTGACCGACGAAATCCCAGCAGGGGTACAGAAAGCTCGATTGCGTCACCTATGGCACAGGCGAGATACCCGTTCGCTGACTAAAGGACGAGTGTACTGCGCTGTAGTTCGTTCCGTTCTACTATACGGATACGAAACATGGCCGGTAAGAGTAGAAGATATTCATAGGTTACTCGTTTTCTATCACAAATGTCTTCGAATCATTGCTCGTATATGCTGGGAAAACCGAGTAAGCGATGCTTTAGTTAGGAACAAAGTATCAGCTAAGGATGGCAGGTCAGTGGATGAAGTAATGAAACTTCACCAGTTGAGGTAGTTGGGATATGTGCTACGCATGCTCAACCGCCGACTGACTGCCTCGTCGATCTCTGTTTTGTCATGCAGGAATAGGTTGAAAGGTAGGGGCGGTCAGACCAAAACATGGCAGAAATCCATAAACTCATTGACAACCAAATTGAGTCGTGTTGGTAGTTATTGACCACGTGGTTGTGGTACGCGAGATATCAGTAATCGATGGTTAGAGACCCTGAATGACATGGCTCAAAATCGTTTGCAGTGGCGCCGGTGCATTTATTCTTTGTGTTCTCTCAAGTCCTAACCTTCTGAATTCCTCCTCACCTTTATCTATTTATTTTTAAGTTTGTTTCGCTAGACTCTACTTCTTGAATAACATCGTCTAACCCTAATCTCTCCGATTACTTCTAATACTTTTACTACTTCTACTACTATGGGATTTGAATTGACAATTACATCTCTGTGCTAAGGTGGTATGGTGACATGAACTGATGTATGTACGTACGTACGATGTTTTTTATGTTGTTGTTGACTGAATGTTTAAAAAGAGCGTTTAATGTTTCAAAAACTGTGTCCTGCTTGTTTGTTCTGTAAACTGAACCTCAGAAACTGTTACGAAAATAAGACAGAAGCTGTTTTTATTGTGTAAACATTCGTGTAACCAAATAAATTCGTTAAGACAGTTTGATAATAGTATAGATGAGTTTTTGAAATTCTAAAATTTATTAGATTAAAAATCGTTCACATTTTTGGTATAATGTGACTAACTAGCTGATCAAAGATACATAGGTCAATAACAACAAAGTGTCTCCAAAACGTAGGAAGATAGGCTGAGGAAAAGATGGCGTAGCGCATAGTAATTTTGAGAATAATATATCTTATCAGGTATTGTCAGGCATATAAACATTATCATTGTATTCATTGTAGTGCAGCTGAACAAGTAATCTTACTTCAAACTTATTTAACTGCATACCATAGTTGGAAAAATCATGAGATAGAATGAACCTTAGCTTTTAACCATAAAGGGATACATAAAAAGCAGATCGACACCCAAACCATTTTGATAATAACAATACCAGTAGGTAAGAAAATATTTGCATTAAAAGTACCAGTTTTGATGTCTACTACTCATCTGAAAGAACATTTCAACCATATCCAGTAATCAAGAAATCTACATAATTTATTATAATACGTTAACCTGATTAACATTTGATGTTATTCTCTCTTGACCATACCAACGTGTATCATTTGTAGTGAGTATAGAATCCCGCATTACCTGTCCTTCTACTTAAATAAGGATCATCAACTGATATACAAGTTAATTCAGTGTTCAAAGTAGGGTTATTGTATTTAGTTTTTTGATATTATCAATCACAAGGAGGCAAACTTTCCATGGTGTGATATTGTATCGGTATTCTACTCAAAACGTCTGTTGGATACCTTGAAAATGAGATATATTTATTCAATATCTGACTCTTAAAACTAGCGACATCTTCGGGAGCAAACAAATCATAATGTAATAATATTTTGCAACCTATTATGATTTTTATCATCCTATAATACATAAACGACAGGAAAATGTACTGCTATGTCATTAAATTGAGTAAGATTTGAAGTACCACGGAGCTCAGTCTCATTAAACCCTGTGATTTATAACTTTTTATCCATAGATTTTCAAGATAAGAACCTCAGTTCCCGGAGTTATCATAATTAATTTTAGATCGATACAATTTCTATAGTTTCAATCATGAATTTATCTTAGCTAGACGATGATTAAGCACACGATATCCACGATCCCGCCATTCGAATCCAATACCTTTGATCTCGCTTGCAAAAGGCTAACCACGAAACAATCGAGCCCCTACCCAGTAATGTACACTTCTAACTGTTGTGGCGTTTCGTTCTCTGAGCTGGATATTTTGGTTATGGAACTTTCGTTGTTCTTCTGAACAATATCATCAGCACTTCTAACTGCAATCAGTCTACAAGACTGCGCGTCAGCTCACTTTGATTGTAGGTGTGAGACGGCTTGTGAGGTCAAAGGTCCCGTGTTCCACTCTCCAGAACGGTTGTAGGTGTACAGTGGTGAGGAGTTTCATGCTAAGAAAAAATAAGTTTTTAGTACTTCCTGGTGGCAAAAATATTCTAATCAGTATTAATTCGCGATTTACACGCTTAACGATGTGAGTGATTAAACTCTGGAATCCGGTATACTCGATCAATATACTAAAAATAAATTTCGAATGCTTTGTATTAATTATTACACAAAATTGCAACGTTAGACACTCCAACAGAAGCTTAAGCAATTAAAATCAGTCGATTTATATGGAATCATAGTCACATGTTTGCTAATTCCGAAGTAGGAATATAAAACAATGAGTTAAGGTGTTATTCAACAGATTACGGATGGCTAACCAATGCGATATTTCATTTTAAGGAAGAGCATGGATAAGGATATTTGATCATAATTTTTGAAAATTCATATCTCTTTTCTATATAATATAATTAAATACATAAACTGATAGAAAATAACATAAATATCGGTTAGAACTGAAGATATTGATGCATCATGTTTTGTACGCTTAAATTACATTACCTAAGCATCAAACAATTTGAATGAAATCACATGGTGACTTTGGTCATCTGTCTAATTGTGTTCCTATTTCAAAAGAGGATGTTGTTTAATAAATTCTACGAAGTAAACACTTATACCCTGATGATAGTCAAATGATCTAATCACATTATCAGCATGTATTTAAGGAATTTTTAACGACTATAATCAACCTTGGTTCATCAGAAAACAAAGCACGTGCTCTCAGGTAAAGTTAGGCTCGATGTTGATATTTTCAGTAGTTCAGTGTTTAATGCCATTCAATGTTCAAGTAACTTCCAAAAAAATGTTGCTCACAAATTATTGCATTAAAAAAGTAAGTGTTACCATTAGGTAAACTGGTTACTTATTATTAAGTAAGAAAAAGTATTGCTTTTTGGACTACTAAATTCCATGACATGAAATTATTCACTATGAGGAAATGGCAGTAATTCAACAGACTCTGTTTATACGGAAAAATTAATCAACCACTGAAAGATTTTATTATTGCAACTCTACAGTTAATTCATATTTAAGGTTCCGATTGTGAAAACTAGAACAACACATATAAGCGAACAATACTGTTTTCGATTAGATCGTCATCAGGCTTTACTCTAATATACGTGAATATTAATATGAAAATGTTAAACCAATCAAGGCAATTTGAGTGATAATCACGATGAAATGAAAAAAGATAACGTCACTTCATATAATAGACAAAAGTTCAAGTGGATAGTAGGAAGACAGGTGTACTGATAGTAGTAAGAAAATTATAAAATATGATAACTAAAATTTTATCAATAGTAGGTCAAAGGTGGATGAATAGACTTCAAATAAACATTAAAAACATCAAAACCATTAATTAATAAGCAAATATGTAACATTTTCACATAAATTTTCATATATATTCGAGTAAAGCCTGATGACGATCTAATCGAAAACAATATTGTTCGCTTATATGTGTTGTTCTAATTCATATTTGCATTTTCATTATTTGATAATAAAAAATGTAACGAAGCAATAGTCCTGATTTTTTTATTTGCTTTACATTGAGTTAATAAGCGAAGAATTTATACCCGTCTTCTATCGTGAAGTATCAAAGTGCAACTCCTTTAAAAGTACATTTAAATTTGCGGAACTCTAATTTAAAAAACCTTTTCCTGCCTTATGGTGAACACAGTAAAGTTGTCTCATTTATGGACTATTTTCACCTAACAAAAACTAATGAATAACTTTTCATTTATTGTACTACTGATTTAAATGAATAACTTAATACTATGTTTCTGTTTGCTTAATAATAAAATATCTACAACATTCGAAGTAGTTAATTCATTACTGAAAGAGTTTGGTTAAGTAATCAAAATAGATTCAGTCAACCATAGATCTTATTTCTAATGGGTACACAACTAAATATTAACATAGGTCTTATTGATAGAAACAATAGTAAATTTTACAAACAACATCTTATAGCCAGACAGAGTCTGTGCGAGAGTTAATTAATGTAATCGATGGGCTAAAATCGTTAGCTGATAACCAACCAACCATAAAATGATACTCTCTAAAAGATATGAATGTGGCGAAGAATGACAAACAGAAATCAGCTGCTGAATAATATAGTTGAAATGTTTAATTAGAGTATTAAAATTTCTAACAATAAGCTGATTTAAGCCCATATTTTTGGCAAATTCTAAGAGGATATTTCGTTTATTCAGAGCTGCATTTAAATGGCTGTGTAGCATATTTCCGTAAACACATATATCATCTGTATAAAAAAAGATCTATAGTATTTTTAGTTGGAATCGACTAGTTTCTCTCCAGATCAATAAACAACTATCTAAACAGTGATTCATATTCACTTGTCGAAGAATTATCTCATTCAATTATTCAAATATGTGAACTGTTTTCAGTTCTCACTTAGGAAAACATAGGTAGACTACAAATAACTGGCAGAATAAACTTTTACTAAAAAACATTATTTA